CTTGCTTATACTCCTTATACAATTAGGTACCACCTGATAATCCAATGTTAATGTCCTTTGTTGAGTAAAATAAGTTTAAATTCATCCTTTCTTTTTCTTCCTGCTTATCCAGGACTACATGATCAACCAAATATTCTTTAAAGTTCCTTCTAAGGAGTAAGACTAACAGGTTGTCTTCCTTTAAATAAGCTCCCCTTCAGACACAAGCTGCAATCATCATGGGGAGTCCTAAACATTTTATGTTTGCAATATATAATACAATTGAACAATTGAGAATCTTCCTTGTGTGCACTTTAAAAACACCCTATCCTCTGCCCCAAATCAGTCTCTGGCAATAGCTAGCTTTTGGGGGACACATCCTTAAATGGGCTCCACTCCCCAGAGCTTGGGCTATGCCACATCAGCAGGGAAGTCTGGGACCAGAATCTGAACCATCCCTCTTGCTGACACAGTGTGTACCACTGACCATCTCAATCTCATTGGAGTTAGGCTCAATAGCTGTTTCCCAAGCATTCTGCCATTTCTGTGATTGATGTGGAATGTGTCATCCCTTAAAACCTTGAGCTTGGTAAGATTTTCTGCTTCCCTCAGATTTGTCACCAAAGCCCTGTGCATTCACTCCCAGGAGGTGAAGAAGCGGCATGCAACACGTTAGGTCTACACTTTTAGTAGCAGCCACTCTGGCTGGTGCGAAATGGTATCTCATTGTAGGTTTGGTTTGCATTTCTCTAATGATCACTGATATTGAGCTTTTTTCATATGCTTATTGACCGCATGCATGTCTTCTTCGGAAAAGTGTCTGTTCATGTCTTTTGCCCACTTTTTAATGGGGCTGTTACTTACAGGAAAATTATCCAGACACTCTCAAGGGTCACATTATCTTTAAGAGGATATGTATGTCATAATCATCAATGAAATGCAAACTAAATACCATTTTATGTCCAAATTAATAGCTTCCTTCTCCAACTAGAATATTCAAGGGTGAATATTCAGAAGATTCAGGGGTGCATAAACACTCTCATACAGAGCTGATGATTTCTTTTCCCTGTTTGCCACTTACCATAGTCATCCATTATAATTTTTCACAATAGTTTTTTCTCTTCCTAAAAAATACTCATTATGAACAATTCACTGATTTCAGAAAACTATAAAAAAAAGAAACAAAAATTGTTCATATCCCTTCTTCCCAGGAAAAAAAAAAAAAAAAAAAAAACACTTTGCCTTTGGAGTCACACCAACTTGGTCTTAGGCCAGTTGCTGGGTGGCCTCCTCTGATAAATGGAAATTATAACTGAAGCTACTCCATGATGAGAGGATCTAGGATAATGCTGATAGAAGGCACAGTGTTCTGTAACTGCTAGCTGTGACTATTCTTATTAATATTCTTCCAGTCTTTTTTCTATGTACGTATACATCCATGTCAATGGGCACTTTTTATGTTTCCACAAGGTGGCTTTAGTGTCCTGAATAGTTATTTAGGAAATACCTTGCTTTGATCAATAAATATAGTTGACTTTGAATAACTTGGGAATTCATGGCGCAAACCCCTGAGCAGTTGAAAATTTGCATGTAACTTTTGACTCCCCCAAAACTTAACTAATAACCTACTTTTGACCAGAAGCCTTGCTGATAACATGAAAAGTCATTTAACACTACTTCATATGTATTATGTACTATGTTCTTACAATAAAGTAAGCTAGAGAAAAGAAAATGCTAAGAAAATCATAAGGAAGAGAAAATATATTTACTAGTTATTAAGTGGAAGTGGATCATCATAAAGGTCTTCATCCTCATTGTTTTCACACTGAGTAAGCTTAGGAGAAGGAGGAAGGGGAACGGTTGGTCTTGCTGTCCCAGAGGTGGCAGAAGCAGAAGAAAACCCATGCATAAGTGGACTCATGCAGTTTAAACCCATGGTGTTGACAGGTCAATTGCATTCAATTTATTAAGATTATGAATCTTTCAACCAGGTCTTCCTTATGCTTTTGAGTCAATGCACAAACTTTACTATGCTATGCATTAGCACAGTTTACCTGCTTTTTTATGCATATTATGTCTGAACTCCTTGAGAGCCTTTGAAAGCAATCAGAACAGGAGAACATCTTGAAGTATATGCATTATGGACCAATGTTTTTTTTGTTTGTTTGTTTTTGAGACGGAGTTTCGCTCTTGTTACCCAGGCTGGAGTGCAATGGCGCAATTTCAGCTCACCACAACCTCCGCCTCCTGGGTTCAGGCAATTCTCCTGCCTCAGCCTCCCGAATAGCTGGGATTACAGGCACGCACCACCACGCCCAGCTAATTTTTTTGTATTTTTAGTAGAGATGGGGTTTCACCATGTTGACCAGGATGGTCTCGATCTCTTGACCTCATGATCCACCCGCCTCACCCTCCCAAAGTGCTGGGATTACAGGCTTGAGCCACCGCGCCCGGCCGGACCAATGTTTTTATTTCCCCAAAACTCATATGCTGAAGCCCTACACCTCAGGATGCCTGTATTTGAAGATGAATCTCTAAGGAAGTAGTTAAGGTTACATGAGGTCATAAGGGTGAGGTCCTGGTCCTATGGGATTGGTGACCTCGTAAAAAGGGGAGAGACACTGGAGCTCTTTCTCACTCTGTGGACAGAGGAAAGGTCATGTGCATCCTCAGTGAGAAGGCAGCTGTCTGCAAGCCATGAAGAGAGCCTTCATCAGAAACCAATTTGCTGATACCTTGATCATGGATTTCTAGCCTCCACAGCAGTTAAAAAGTAAGTCTCTGTGATTGAAGCCTCCCAGTGTACAGTATTTAGTTATGGCAGATAGGTTACGTGCTCTATTCAAAATCAGGCAATGGGTCAACAGCAAATAGACATAAGAAAGTTTCTCATTTTTCAGAGGCGACTGAGTAAATTGGACCATCATATCCCATTTCATGTAGGCTGCACTTGAAAACTATAACAGGTCAAGGAAAGCAGCTGTCTTCAGTTTCTGCTCCACAAATATTATCACCCTGTAAACTCACTGGTGGCCTCCAGTGTGTGGAAAGTGCCATGCTACCACCTCCCTGCATCAAAGGCAGAGAGTAGGGCTTCCTAGATGAGCCAGGAGCAACAGGGGCTGCAGGCAAAGCTTTAGGCTTGTTTCTGACAAAAATCTATTTGTCAAACATGTCCACTCAACTTGATTCCCAGGCGGCCCTGACATTTTTATGAAGGACATTCCAAGAACAATGGAGACACTGTTCCTTACCGCCCCCTCCAAGCAGTCTGAGGAAGGGGTTCTTAGGTTCCTGGAGAGGGTCAAAGGGATGCCACTGTGGTCATGGCCACGGAGGTAGAACCTATGAGACCCTGTAGCCGAAGTAAGTCAGATGATGATAGGCACCCCATCCCTCCCCACCTTATGCCCTCTTAGAGGGTGTGCTTATTTTCTACTCTCTCAGAGTGGAACACTTGGAGAGCAGTCTCTGCAGCTTAGCACAGCAGCACCCAAACACAAAGGCTCTCTTCAAACCGCCCCTGAGCTGCAGAGCCCACTCAGGCAGTCTATGCATGCACTTCCAGCAGATGCTCAGTAAGGGACTGTAGTTCCTCGGCTTGGATTTCCATAAAAGCTTCCCAGAGGAGGAGCAACAAGGAGTGCATGGAGAGTGGTCTGCACTCACACAGGCAATAAGGGGTGTATTGTCCACTGAGGATATTAAAACAATAAAATTGGCCAAAAGTTGACTGCTTTTTATTTCCATATATGTCTGTGAGCAGAAAAATCACACACTTCTTTCTCTGCTCTCACACCACAACAATCAGCACAGACTTCTGTGATAAAATCTGTGGGGATTCCTCTGCAGCAGCACGCAAGCAATTGCAGCAGACACCAGCCAGTGTCCTCCAATTCAGTTCTGATGCTGACTACCTGGAGATAGCATCAGATCCCACGGGTTGAGGGCTCAGTTCCACAAGACTGCCCCCAACTTCCAGTGCCAGTCATAAGCCCCAGGTTGTTTCGCCTGTGCTTCTGAGGAACTGGTTTTATACACTGGAGTTCCCATGACCCCCTCCTTGGGTTTGCTTAATTTGCTAGTGTGGCTAGCAGAAACTCAGGAAACTCACAAAGGATAGTGATGAGGAGACGCACAGGGCAAGGTGTGGAGAAGGGGTGCAGAGCTTCTATGCCCTCCTGGGGTGTGCCACCTTCTAGGAACCTCAACATGGTCAGCTATCTGCAAGCTCTTTGAAACCAGCCCTTTTTGGAGTTTTGATGGAGGCTTCATTACATAGGCATGATTGATTTAACCACTGGCCATTGATGATAGCCTTGACCTTCAGCCCCTCACCCCTTGAGGGGGCAGGATTGAAAGTTCCAGCCCTATATTCCTGCATTGGTCTTTTCAGTAACCAGGTATCCTGAAACTATCCAGGTCTTTCAGCCATCAGTAAACTCACTGACATACAAAAATCATCACTTTGGAGATTCCTATGCCAGGAAACAGGATGAAGACCAGATATATATTCCATAATATCACAGTTAGCAATTATAAGCAATGTCAATGATAAAATATTTCTTGGGTGAGCTGCCCAGCCATGTTTCCCCGCAACTGGCTACATCAGACACTACTCCCACTGGGTCCCCTCAATACTAGTCTCTCCCACTCCCACCTTGCTTCAGCCAGAGGCATCATTCCAAAATGTGACCTGAGCATGTCACTTTGATCTAAAACTCCCACGTGCTCCCATGGCCTTCAGAATGAATCCCATGTCTAAGCAGCTTCAGGACTCTTCACAATCTTGAGTCCAACCTCCTTTTCTAGCCTTTCCTGAACCCTTTCTCTCACTCTGTATATCCCAAGCTCCCAGTTCCTTGAACACAGCATCCCATTCTTGAGCCCCACGCTTTTGGTCAAGCCATTTCTTTTATTAAAAATTTTATTTTCAACAATGAAAATTCCAAGTCATTTTCCAAGACCCCAGTGAAGTGTTAATTCCTCTGGGAAATCCTCCAGTGCCAAGAAACACTTACCCAGTCCGCCCGCTACACGCCTTCACAGCATCACTTACTGCAGAGTCCGCCTGATCTACTCGCTGCCAGCAGAGTCCAATCCAATTAACGAGAGTGAGGTCTTGTATAAAGACGGCGACTTTTGACCAGGTGTGGTGGCTCACACCTATAATCCTAGCATTTTGGGATGCCAAGGCAGATGGATCACCTGAGGTCAGGAGTTTGAGACCAGCTTGGCCAACACGGTGAAACCCCATCTTTACCAAAAATACAAAAAAAAAAAAAAAATTAGCCAGGCAGTGGCACCTGTAATCTCAGCTACTCTGGAGGCTGAGGCAGGAGAATGACTTGAACCTAGGAAGCAGAGGTTGCAGTGAGCCAAGATTGTGCTGTTGCACTCCAGCTGCGCAACAAGAGCGAAACTCTGTCTCAAAAAAAAAAAAAAAAGACAGTGACTTTTTATTCCATAGCTAGCTTAGGGAAAGAAGTACAGGCTTCGTGCCTCAAGGGCACCACTTTGCTTTTGGAAAGCAGGTACCTTTTAAAGGGAGCCTAGCATGAATGGCATGCAAGAGAGGAAGCTAACAGGTGGGGTACACATATTGGCTTTGGTGCCTTATCTATCAGGCGGTTGAGTTGGTGTCTTTGTGGGCAGAATGAGGTTGTAAAGGTAGCCAAAACTCTCCAGATGGGAGAGAGTTTCACAGCAGGAGGCTTTGGGTTGGAGATTGACTGTTGTCCCGTGAGGAAGTCTCCTGGTGGGAGAGTTCCACTCCGGAGGTTCTAAGCCCATAGTTAGATGAAATTGCCCTGTAGGGAGTGTCTGCTGAAGGGGAGGTAGAGGTTAGAATTACGTTTCTAAAGGGCTCAGTAGAAAATGGGGAATAGGGGGAAATGGAGAAAAAGAAAAAATAATTTTAAAAAAATCCTTATCTTTTTCTTAGAAAAATGGGAGTACTCAGTTACACTTGCATTTATTAGCTTCCCCCCTGCAGGCTCCAAGAAAGCTAAAATTCCTGAGCCCAGTAGGTGAGCCCAAGACATTGGCTGGACTACGTTTTACTGGTTAACAGAATTACTGGGCCTTAAGTCGGTCCTCATAACCAGCTCGCTTTTCAGTCCCCGGCGCCTTGGGTCAGACCAGGCCCCTTTCCTTTCTATGATTCTCACTCCATGAAATCAGCTGAGTAAGAGGGCTTAGAACCACTTTTGGATCTTGTTCTCTCTCTCTCTCCTTCCTGAAAGTCACGTCTAAAAGAGCTTGTCATAGATTTTGCCTCCAAGGTAGATGAGAGCAAGAGACCCCCACTTTGGCCTGCAGTCTCAGTTGTGGGTTTCAACTCAGCCTTTTACTAGAGAGCCCTGAATTGCAGGTGGCTGGCTCTTGCTTTGGATACTAATAAAGGGGTGCCTTGCTGCCCACTTTGGTCTTTACTCTCAGAACAGACTGGTATAAGGCATGAACAGGAGGAGGGGATCTGGGCCCTCATGTAAGCCCTAAAATTCTGCCCCTCACCCCCAAGCCCCTGCCTCTACCAATTACAGTTGTACTGCAGTCAGCTGTTCACTTGTGTCTGCCATCTAGATGTGACCGTCTTAGAAGATTCAAGTTTCGCTCACTCTTAATTCTCTTTTTATATCAATTCACTTTTAATATAAATGTCTATTTTAAAAAATAAGTGGGTACAAGACACCGCAGAAGGTTCTTCTTCCACACCCTACTGGTTCCCAACTCAGCTGTCACCCCCCGCTCCTGCCTTTGTGCTCTCAGAACCCCAATTTTGTTCAGGTTTCTGGAAGCCAACACTTCAAAGAAGACAGCTTGGCTGAGAATAGTGGCTCATGCCTGTAATCTCAGCACTTTGGGAGGCCAAGGTGGGAGAACTGCCTGCACTCAGGAGTTTGAGACCAACCTGGGAAACACAGCAAGACCCTGTCTCTACAAAAAAAATAAAAATAGAAATGTATTAGCCAGACATGGTGGGTGTGCCTGTAGTCCCAGCTATTCAGGAGGCTGAGGTGAGAAGATCACTTGGGCCAGAGACATTAAGGCTACAGAGAGTCATGATCACACCACTTCACTCCAGCCTGGGTGGCAGAGCAAGACCCTGTCTCCAAAAAAAAAAAAAAAAAATGAGGACTATGAAGAAGGAGAAGACAAGTCCCTCCCAGCCTAGAGGTAACTCTAAGTTAATCATGGTAATCCTAGCCTTTTGTCTATTCTGGTTGGGACAGCCCTGCCCTAACCAGAGCCTAAGGAAAGGCTCAGAGGAGACAGCTGGGGAAGCTTTCCTCATCCTTAGATCAACCCTTCCTGCCTTCACACACTGTTGTGTGAGGACATGATGCTTAGAACTGCTGCTGCCATCTGTGAGCATGAGGCAAAAAGCCAAGCAAGTCCTAAGAACAGACTCCTTCAAGCCCTAGCATCATTGGCTGTGGCAGACCCACTACAAAAATGCTCCACCTGCCCTTGGCAATGGGACCTTGAAGCTCCTCCCATCAAGAAGCAGAGTCTATTTCCTCATTGCCAAGTCTTAGTCAACAGCATTGCAGCAGAAGTGACTGCACCAACTTTAAATCTCAGAGAAAGGAGAGCTAGTCAGTCACATCCTCCTCCACCTTCCTTCCAAATCCTCTCACCTGGCAGGAAAGCCACCTAGGGTTGTATAAGAGGAGGAGGCACAGTGGGGACCAGTCTCGTTGGCAGAGAGCTTTTCTTTCCTGAAAGTCAGTGCCGAAAGACAGAAAGTCACTGAGGACCCTGCTGACCTCCCCCCACCCCCGAACCCGCCCCCCCCCCCCCCCGCCACACACACACACCCACCATCCCACAAAACCCATGGTAGGCTGGCCCTGAAAGAGGAGAGTGAATCCTGAGAAAGGAAGTGAATATCCTGCAGAAGTCTGCTAGGGGGTGGCTTCATCTCAGTTGCAAGGCTGCTGAATAGGTAGGTGGGTAAAGGGAGTGCGGAGAATCAGCATTTGGAACTCTTCCCTGGGTGTAGCGCCACTGCCTGCATTGCCTGCAAGGCAAACCCCGCCTCCTCCCGCCGCCTCCCACTCCACCCAAAGCAGCCCAGGGACGGAGGCTGCAGGATTCTGACACAGGAAGTCTGCAGTCGCTGGGAGCCTCTCCAAGATACAGCCTGGGTGAAGGAAAAGGTTTGGAGAAGGAGAGGAGCAGTACAGAGAAACAAAAGTCCTCGGTTTGGATCGGGAGAGATTTGAGTCCGCAGTTGGTTGCAGGGTGGAGGATGGCGGCAGGGGCGGATGCCACTACCTGGTTCTGTTTCTCTTTCGCTGGCCACCTGGTTAAGCTCCCATTGGTCAGGTGTCCGGAGTGGGGCTCACCACTGCAGAGGGCTCCAGCCCTACACAGCGGCCTCCCAGGAAGGACTCAGGTGGGCTTTCAGGTTGTCGGAGAGGGAGGCAAGGGGTGAGGGAACCTTTGGTGGTGGATGTGAGAATCTGGGATGGTGGTGTGGGGCTGTGCCTGGGGGCAGCAGTGTTTGGGATGGGACTTTCAGAGCTCCTGCAGTGTACCGTGCACAGTGCTTTCTGCAGGATGGCATCGAAGGGGCTGGAGCTGGGGGCAGCATGTCTGTGTCCTCAGACCACTGTGGAGGATGTGGACTGTCCAGGCCCCAAGCTGTCTATCCCTCAGTGCTAACACCTGACTGATGGGATGGAGCGCGGGAGGGAAACGCAAGTGCCACCTTTCAGAGAGAGGCCCTCTGGAAAGGAAGAGTGGCTGCAGGAGAAAGGATGTGGCTGAGAAGGGGAAGAAAGGGCCTGGCGAGCGTCAGCACTAGGAGAAGCAACTGATTTCATCCGGAGAGAGTTTCAGGGGAGAGAAGGCTGCCCCTTCCCAAAAGAACTGGCAGGACTGGCCACAAGCCAAGTAGAGAAGGGCTGCTGCTGACTGGGGGAGAAGCTGTGCAGCCTTGGGCATTCAGTCAACCTCTCTGGGCCAAGGACAACATAATAATGCCTGCTTTACCGACCTTAGTGAACTGTTATGATGTTCCCTGGTGAAAGAGAGTTGTCAAATATGAAGCGCAGTTAAACGTGGAGGTGCAATATCGCTGTCACCAGAAGTTCTTAGGCTGGAGGTGGGGACCCAAGAAGCCCTAGAGACGTGTTTTTTGTTTGTTTGTTTGTTTTAATCCTGAACTTGGAAACCGCCCTAGATCAGTTATTCACGTTAGGGCAGGCAGTCAACCTTTACCTTGTTCTGTTAAGCTCCCATTGGCCAGGAGTCCGGAAGGACAGGAAGTGGTATTTTTTAAAAAGTATCTGGGGATGCTGATATCCTGTGAAGGTTGAGACCCACTCCCTAAGACTTCCCCAAACTCCCTGAAGATGATCACTCAGAGCACATGTTAAAAAAAAAAAAAAACATATTCTCAGGCTTCTCCCAGACCTACTGAATCAAAATTTCAAAGGGTCCTGGCAATCTCTATATTTAGCAAACACTAAGAGCAGTGTGGACATGTTATGCCGGTGAAAAGTCTGTCGATTGGCTTCTTCTCTACTGGATAATCATACCCAGCAATGCTTCTGGACAGCGCAGGCAAATCAGCTCAGGGAGGGGAAGCACCCTCCTCAGACAGTAAGTACAGACATGCCGTGGGGGGCGGGTTACAGTAGACCACCAAATCCCCTCCAATTCCTGCTCCACCAGGGTGAAACACTCCAATTATAAAATGACACATTTCCCAGCCAAAGTGCCTGGGAACCTTAAGATAAAAAGGAAACCATGATTTATCCATAACTAATAGCATCAATTACGTGCTTTATTGTTTCATCAATAGATTGCTCAGGCTTTCTTGCTTCACACCCCGCTGACTCTGTTCCATTCATAAAATTATACAAACACATGCACACCCATGCACACTCTGCATACCCATGCACACCCATACACACTCTACACACCCATGCACACTCTGCACACCCATGCACACTGCATACCCATGCACACTCTGCACACCCATGCACTCTGCACACCCATGCACACTCTGCACTCTGCACACCCATGCACACTCTGCACACTGCATACCCATGCACACCCATGCACATGCACTCACAAGCACAGAGACCCCAAACCGCCAAACACACAGATGGGAGGACGAAGAGCATGACAGGAGCCGGTGAATTTTTATCAGGCAACTGCGTTACTCCATTTCACATTATCTGCAGTATTCCGTGCTACATTAGCGATGTTCCCTAGGAACAGGACCCCAGGGATTCCTCATGTTAGCTCTTTCATCCCACAGAGGCAATATTAGCTTAGCAGATAAGAGCACGACTCTGGAGCCCGACTGCCTAAGTTGAAATCCTACCACCCTGCTTACTGGATGCATGTGACTCTGAGCAAGTTACTTTTGTGAAAGGAGATAAAAATGGGACAACTGGGACAAT